GAGAGAGAGAGAGAGAGAGAGAGAGAGAGAGAGAGAGAGAGTATTTCAAAGTATAAACAAAAGTCCAAATATAAAAGCAAAAAAGAAAACAAAAAATGTAAAAATAAACAGGAAAAAGATGTTGTGGCCTCCCCGCGCTTGTGGGCCGGCATATTCAAAAATCAACTAGCGAGTGAGCTGGGCCGGCCCGAAACCCGGCCTGTCTGGCATATGATCAGGTTTAAGGTAGTGTTCTGTTTATAATGCGATTGAGGTGCACAAAGTACATGTACGAAGCAAGGAATTGTAATGCGTCTACCCACTAACTCAACCTGACTTATAGAACATACCGAGGCCTCTAAGGTTACACAACCTAGTCGGTTAGGTCGGGGGAGGGGAGTCCTCCACAGCTCTGGCCTCCTGTCTTGGAAGGGTTCCAGAGTCTTCTCACATGGGGCCGGATTGATGGCCCAGGACGGAGATGACCTAGGGGGCCTCTGAAAAGTGTGAGCCCCCGGGCCATGACACCATCACGTCCATAGAAAAAGAATCCCGGATCCACGAGAATCCAAAAGGCACAAAAGCCAATAACAAAACACTGCAGAGACTGCGGTTTGGTTAGAGCATCTCTAGCAGACCCCGTAAAACGCCGACCCGCATAAGGCTTTTCCAGTTCGCGGAAAAAGGGTCTATGCGGGCCGGCGCGAGCGAGGTCAGACTCAGACCCCGTAAAACGGACCTGTAAAAAAGGATATTCGTTGAATATGCTCTTTTATGGGTCGGCTACGCGGGGTCTGCTCGGGCACCGCCGCGTCGACCAGCAAACCAAAGACGCCTAATAAGCGAATTTGACAGAGATTCCGATAAATGAGTTCAAATTCAAACAATAAAACACAGTTCGCATGCAAATAAAAGCTTAGTTTTGAAGGGCAAACGCAAAAGGAGTTCTTGCAAAAGTGACGACCACGCCCAACATCATCTTGGCCGATCTTCACTCTGCACCACCGAGTCCATCGAGGTCATCGCCACCACCGAGTCCACCTCCGGCACTTGTTCCAACTCCGGCACCAAAATCATCGGCTGGCGCACTGAACGCATCGGCGACATTGGTTCCAAACCCCGATGAGAAAACATCTCCGACACTGTAACAAGCACTGGCCGACGCAAGCATCCTCCTCTACAAGATATCTCTTCTTGCCATATCATGCCATTCTTTGGTGAGGTCGTCCATGTCATTGCGGTTCAATGTCATGATCTTGTTCTCTTCGGGAAGCAACTTGGATATGGCTTTGTTTTCAGCGGCACATGTTCTTCTCTCCTCAATGGCCGCTTTGCGCAGCCCCTCGTCCTTGAGAAATTACCATTTTTCTTACTTCTCTCGTTCCTTCTTCTCGGCCAACTCTTTCTTTATCTCAAACGTCTTCATTAACATCAACTCATTTGATTGCACCATGACATCAATCTTGTCCCGCAAGCTTGATGCTTCGTGCTCTCTCTTCATCTTCTCCTTAGTCTTCTTGTCACCATCGGGCTTGTTCAAGTTTCTTGGGCAATCATCATCTTCATCTTCATCCATGTTCGTAAGTGAACCTCTCTTCGGTGGGGATTCTTTGTCAATCAATTCCACTTGTCGCACTCTTTGAGCAAGTCCCACCAATGCTCTAGTTTGAAGAATTTGCCTTCCAAAGCTTCCATGTCTTTGTATATTTGTTGGGCAATTTTGTCCTACACAATTAAAACAATGTCAAATTATGCAATCACTTTAAATGCTACAAATGATTTTCATAACTTGGGACGTGAACTCACATAGTCGGATTCCACGCTTCCACTTGGAAGGGCATTCCGAACTTGTTCCAAACAAGCAGCCCAATGACTACAAATAGGCTTGATCACGTCCCAATGACCTTGGAGTGACCGAAAGGTGTGTGGAGTCCTATTGGGGTACTTTGCCATCATGCGGAAGTATTGATCTTTGATCCTTTGCCAATACCTCTTGGCGGTTTGAGACGTACCCGTGCAAGCATCAAGAGAAGCCGCACTCCAAGCCTTGATCAAGATTTGATCTTCCAAGATCGTGTAGTTCTTAGATCTCATGTTTTTTTGCTTGCGCTTGCTCATACGCCACCTCATCTATCTCCTCCAATTCTTCCACCACCGTGATCATCCATGCCGCCCTCTGTTTCATTGTAATCGAATTCAGCGAACGAGGCTTGATTGATGTGTCCAACAAGTTCACGAACACGACAGTGGCATTGTTCGAACCACTGCTGTAGTGAGCGACAACAAGTCACGAGCTACCACAATGGCGAAAAGCAAAGAAATTTGAAGGGGCCGAAGAGGCATACCTTCCGGCCATTTCGTCAAACACCTCGCTGGCGGTGGAAGCAGCGCCGTTGAACGGCATTGCCGGGGAACCACTTGCCGGGGCGGAGGGAGTGGATGAAGGAGCCGACCTCTTTGTAGGAATCTTCTTCCGCTTCACCCCCGAGACCTTGCCGACCTTCTTCGCTGCCGACCGGGATCGCGCAGCGGTGTTGGCGCCCGGAGCACGGGCCTTCCCTGCGGGGCGAGCCAGATTCTCACCCTGCACGACCACGTTGCCCTGCCGCTTGCGGGCAGGCACAGTGGTGCCTTGGGCGACGGCGGGGCCAACATGGCCGGCGACGAGATCCGCCAGAGGGGATTGCGCATGCGCGACCTCAACGGTGACGAGGGACGGCTGGGAGGCATCCATGTCGGCGAAGAACTGCCGGGGAAGATGCATCGGAGCGGGCGATGGCGGGGGCAATGGCGGCGGGGGGCTGGGGGAGCGGGAACGGCCGCGCAGAAATTTCCCTCGTGCCAAATGT